TGAAAAAGGTTGGACATGGATATGGACAAAGAGGGAGCAACATTGGAGAAAAGAATGGATCACAAGACTTGGACAAGAGAAGCACACAAGTAGGGAGCAAGCTCATGAACTTTGATTGATTGCATTTGATATGTGCATATTCATGTGCTTGCTTGCATTGCATAAGTTTTAAATTCAATATGCATGCTTGTGTGGTGTATGCTAGTTGTAGAACTTGGATGATGATTTGATAACTAGCATGCATAGGATGATAGCTAGACACTTGGTATATTCTTTAAGTAATGCTAGTACCTTGATTTTAATGTTGATCTCATGAGGTATCTAGTGCTTTTATTTCCAAGTGATATCTAGCTAACCATGGTGCTAAGGATGAACTTAAAGGTGCAACTACGATTGGTACACGCTTCAAGGTTTATTCCATACACCTTAGCATCATTTTGTAGTATTTACTCTCCCACAATTTCAATCTATGCATATGTGCAAGCTTCAAATTAAATACACTAGCACATATGTAGGGGGAGCTAATACTACCATTTCGGGTTTATGGTACTTGTCCAAAATCATTTTCACATGGTAAAATTGCTTGGGCAAGCAACATGAATCAAAAAGAGCTTAATTTCCATATCTTTGTAGAGTTGTCATCAATTACCAAAAGGGGAGATTGAAAGGTCCTTGTTGGTTTTGGTAATTGGTGACAACCTAGGTGAACTAATTGTGTTTATGTGAGATACCACGGTGATTAGTCCACAGGTACATGTGTATGAGCAACATATGCCATGGAGGTGAAAATGGCTTGGAGATGTTGCAAAGCTCACACATGTGATGATGAAGGAGCTTATTGCACATGAGACATGACATTGAGTCATGTGATCAAGGTGGAAAGATCAAGACAAGACTTGGCTTGATGGACTGGTTACCAAGCGTGAAGGGCAAGTCGAAGGCTTTGGGTGATGGACCCGTGGGCGGTGAAGCTTGAAACAAGACTTGGCGCCCGATGGACGATGGCAGCGGTGAAGAGCAAGTAAGTCAAGATCGATGAACCAATATGATCATGTGATGATATGAAGTGGATCATATCATTGTTGATCGTGTTGGTGCATGTGTTGCATCGACATTGAAGGAGATGGAATGGAATGCGCAAGAGCAAAGGTATAACCTAGGGCATTTCATTTCACGGTCATAGTGTGTGTAGAGAAGTTTATGACCGGGGTTTAGGATAGATGGCCGTACTATCAAGAGGGGCAAACTTGTTTGCATATCGGTCATCTAGTGCCACTCAGTGATCTAACTTTGCATTGTCGCTAGGATCGAGTGGGCGTGGCAAGTTGAGTGGCTAACATCCTTTGGGAAATGATTGTGAAAATGCTAACACACATACACATGATGGTGTACACTTGGTGGTGTTGGCACATTTACAAAGGAGGTGGTGTTTGCGAGGGGTGAGATGGGTTTGGGTCCCTCTCTCCCTCCCGCCGAAACTTCTGAGGCGAGATTCAACGCTTTCGAAAATAGAATGCCTATTTTCTATTGCACGGATGCAAGTTCTTAGTGGTTAGCACATTGGAGCAAGGGTGAAGAAGTTAGAAGTGAGAACGAGTTGGTCGCGAAGATCTTTGGCGTCGGTCAAGCCCACCGAGACGGCTTGATCTGAAAACGCTACCGAGACCGGACTGGCTCATTTACGTCGTCAGTCAAGTGACATCTGATAATAAAGATGGCGGAGAGTGATGTGACGCTATTGCGTCTGCGTCAATCGTTGATCGGCCGGACGCGTCCGGTCATGCTCGAAATCTCTTTGAAGCGGACGGAGGTCCAGGGTCTGCGTCCGGTCGATTCAAATTCTTCGTCCGGTCAGTCAAGTGGATCCGTTGGAATTGGGACACGTGGTGCCGTCTGCCCGGGCGGCCGACGCCGAGTCCGGCGTCCGGTCAACACTGACCGAAGGAAGCGTCCGATCGGCGACCGTTGCCCGATGAAGGGGTAACGGCTAGTTTAGCCCTTGGGGCTATAAATAGAAGTGGCCCTCGGCCATGGCTGATCTTGAGCACCTCAAGGGACTTAGTGTCCATGCTTGTGAGTGCTTGGGAGCCCTCCATCACACACATACTTGATAGCGATCATCCGATTGTGTGAGTGGCGATTCTAGTGCGATTGCATCGTGAGGTTGCATCGAGTGGCACTAGGTGATCGAGTTCTGCCGGTGGGTGCTTGTTACTCTTGGAGGTTGCCACCTCCTAGGCGGCTTAGTGGTGGTCTCCGTCGAAGCCAGCGCAAGAAGCTTGTCTTGGCGCTCGGGAGAAGTGCTTGTGAGGGGCATTGTGCTGCGCCCAGCAGAGAGCATGAAGAGCAACTCTAGTAAAAGCGTGTCATTGAGCTACCCTCACTCAAGGGGTAGGTTCTTGCGGTGCCCGACGTGCGGGCTTAGCGGGTGATGCTAATTAGCAGCCGAACCACCAAGTGGTGAAGTCGACTGCTAAGGGACTAAGCGTGTTGGCAAACACGTGAACCTCGGGAGAAAAATCATCGTGTCAACCTTGTTCTTCCCGTTGGTTTGCATCCCCATTACACAAGCTTGCAATTACTTATATATATATCTTAAGCTTGTGTAGTTGCTCTTGTAATTAGATAGCTTGTGTAGCTAGCTAATTACCTTCTTACTTGTGTAGCATAAAGTAGCTCCTTGCATTAGCTAATTTGGTTTTAGTAACCTTGTTAGTCACATTGCTTAGTTGTGTAGCTAAGTATTTGCGCTCTCTAATTAGGCATTGGTTGCCTTGTTATTGAGCATTGCTAGTGAGCTTAGTTAGCTTTGTGCTTTTTGCTTACTAGCATGTGTAGGAGCTCCTTGTTACTTAAAGTACTAGTGGCATAGGTTTGTGTGACCTTGCTCCTAGAATTGTTTAGAGAGCTCTAGCTAGTTGCACACCTTAGTTGCTTTATTAGTATCTTTGCAAGGTGCTAGTGAACATATATAGAGGGGTGTAGTCTTGGCTAGACCGATTGTTTTAATTCCTGCATTTATATGATTTAGTGGCACGCTACATGATTATTTGTAGAAAAGACTATTCACCCCCCTCTAGTCCGCCATCTCGACCCTTCACCTAGGAATACTAAGGCCTCCACAACATATTATCTAAAACATTTGGGGCATCGCGTTGGCGAGTTGCAACACGAGAAAAAAGAGAGGATCAAAGCTATCTTAAACATTTGGACCCACATGAAATCAAATAACAATGCCCTTCTCCACGTAGCTCTCGTTAAGTAAACAAAAAACTCTTCCTCTCTTTCCATCTTTCATCTTCGCATAGGCAATACCTAACTCAATCACTTTCTTCCAATAAAACAGTGATTCTTCCTCTAGATCTTGTTTAAAAGCTTTTGCGAGATCACGGTGACAACCGATCATCATGTCATGCTCGGGTTGCCCAGGAGGATAGGGCTTCGACGTACCATGGTTCTACGCTACATTTGCAAAAGGCGATTCGCAGCCAACGATGCTAACGAGGATACTAAGCGACGGAAAGGTCACGCCTGGATTCACATTGGGTTCGGAGGCCGATGACGCCAACGAGGATCCGGGTGACGAAAGGTCACGCTGGATTCACAGCAGTGTAGAGGCCGCATTTGACATCAATGAGGATACCAATGACGATATGCCACATTTGGATCGGGATTCGCGAGCGAGTCGTGCGGCGACAACGATGAGGATGCAAGGACGTGCTCTGATGTACTCCGAAAGTACTAAAGTCATGCGGGTGCTATGAATCTTGGGCGGCCGGTTGAGATAAGCGTTAAAGGACTAACGTGAAACATTTTTATTGATTGGCACCGTTGCATGAATTTATGTCGCTCTAGATTTTTACGGCATCGCGTGAAATTAATATCGTCGGTACCGTAAGGAGGGGTAATCTCAAACCATCTCTTTTTTCTTTAGATGTCACTTGGCGGTTTAGGCGCGAAATGGCCAAATCCTTATTACACGCAGTGTGCTTTCGTGCTGACGGTGTAAACGCATGAACATGCATTGATGCGGATTGAGGCGAGCACGACATCATCAACTCTGCAGGCCTTCTCTTCCTCTCGTTCACTTGATCGGGAGGAGGTCTCCGACCTTAAAGAAGGAAGCTTGGGACCGTATGCCCAAGACGGTGGAGGTTGTTCGACCGGCTGACGATCGTGGCCCGCTCGTCGGTAGAGAAGACAATCATTGGCTGAGGTCAAGCTGTAGGCTGACCAAATGCAAGCTTAGGGGAGGGGGGCGGTGAAGATACGTGAGGCCATGCCAGGGTCGCAAGAGAGATATCAATTGAGATTAAGCGTCGGTCATGGCGATGGCGATGGCAAGTGAGTCACCAAAATGAGGTGGTACATGGACTAGGCGGTGGTGGAGACCCCAAGCGAGCTCGCAATTTACTACGTCGGCAGGAGAAAAGAAGAAGAATCACTAGAGAAGAGAAGAAATTACACGCTTGCAATAATTGCTTCGCTCGACTTACCGATAAAGCCATACGATTAAAAATCTTGTTATGCGATTTGTTATGGTAGAGAAAAATCATTGTTATTAATCGATAGAAAAGAATGACGACTTATATAAAGGACGCGTGCACGTGAGTTAAAAGAGTCGCGCGGATGGTGAAGGGTCTAACCAGGGCCTTACCTATTTTTCCCCACGCCCTGGGGTGACCTAAGGACCAGGACCCGTGCGCTTTTGCAGGAAGCCAAGAAAGTTAAGGGCATCACAGTCATTTTCTTGCCCCCTGACATTAGCAGACAGTAAACAGAGTGTTACGGTAATGGCGGCACCATTATGAGAAGAAGGAGAGAGAATATCATGGGGGAGAGAAGAAGGAGAGATAGAGAGAGAGACTGACTGTTGTAACGGACAGAGAAGCTGAAAGGTGTGTGTGCTCCTCCCACCACCCCACTCCACCACCCTCTCTCTCTCATCCATCGTCTCCATTATTTTCTCTCCCCCGTCAGCGTCTCCACCTCCCTCCCCTTTATTCTCTCTCCCTCCCAGCTCCTCCTCCCTGTCTGCTTCCCTCCCTGCTGTGGCACTGCGCCTGGCCGCTTGCCCTCTCCCTCACCTTCTCCACCTCCCCCATTCCGCAACCGCACGAGCAGAGTTCCCTCACCAAGAGGAGAAAAAAAAAGAGAGCGAAGGAGGCAAACCAGGCGGTGGGACAGCAACGCGACGTGCTTGCCATTCTCTCGAGGTACACATCAGACGTTTCTCCTCCCCTCTCTTCAACCCGCTCGCTCTTGTTCCGGAGATTTTCTTGGCCCCTTGGGGGAAGTGTTCTTGCATCGATAGGTAGTCGCTTTAGCGGTTGTTGGGATCTAGGCGGGCGCCAGAGACCAATCTGCGGGGGTGTGGCAATGCGGTTCGTGTGTTTCCGTTGTGTCGGTGGGGCACTGGGGCGACAGCTCGGTGAGATTTCGAGAGATTCGTCCGTGCCAGGGCTTGGATCTACGCTCCGGCCACCTCCAGGCTTCGGTTCGCCGCCCACCAACCGAGCCTGAGAGTCCGCCATTCATTCAAACGCCCTCGACGGCGACCGCGCATCGGTTCAGATCCAAGCGTCCTTTCACCGGCAACTGCGCCTCCCATGCAGTCTTTCTCGTTGTTCTTGTCCCCTCCCTGGACTCGGGGGTGTACTGGAAGTCCATGCGGATTTTTTTTTATATAAAAGAGTCTCTTTTGTTGGTATGGACGCCATAGCTTTGGACCTCAAATCCTAATCTCTCTGTGGGATAGAATGCGTTTTGTTGCGGATTTTTTTTTTTGCTGCCTGGCGTACTTCTAAATCGGCTTAGTTTTCCCAAAAAAAAAAAAAAATGCGGGGTTCAACCAAACCTCCTGTTGACAGATCCTTTTTTTTTCTGTTTAGGTTGCTTACCCAGCTGACTGTTTTGCCTTGTTCATATTTGAGTTGGATGCTGTGAGGCATGCCAATCGATATTTGGGGAAGTAAATTATTATGTCGGCAAGTGTGAGTGCGAGTTCTTTGCTGAAACTTTAAGCTTCACCTGAGATCTGACATTGTCGGTGCCAAATTGATGTACATTTGAGAGCACGCTCTTGGGTAAATCATTGGAAAACATATTTCACTTTGCGTGGACACGCCGATGATCTACCTTCACCTGTCTCAAACCTTTGTGATTTTTATATACTCAACTTGGCTGTGCTGCTGTGGTGAGTGGCGGTATTTCAGGAGACAGTCTCCATAAATTCTGCACGTTGTGGCCTTGTGGGGGTTTGTCTTTAAGCTTGATTTGAGGGAAATGGGCCATTCCTTTGTTCTGGTATAGGATTTAGCAGTACGATGTTTATAACTGTCTAAACTTGTAATAGTGCTAATGCCATGAAACGCTTCTGCATGTTTTGTTGCGTTACCACCGCGTGGACAAACATGAGATATTGCCTTGAATCCCTGATTAAATTTGGCTTTCAGAAATTATGTTCATTTTCTTTTCTATTTCTAGTTCTAGATAACACATAATGACCCTTGATTGCCATATAATTTGTTTCCTGCAATGTGGTGCTGTTGTTTTAGGAAAATATAAGTTCATACAGTAGCTATTGATGGACCTTTTTTTCTTCCAGTGCCTCTGCCACAAATAGGATTCCTAAAAAGTAATTGAATTTCTGCAGCAATAGATGTAAGAAATGTGTGTGCGTCTGTTCTGTGAATTTGTTTTCGACCTACCATATTTAGATCAGAGTTGGCACAGGTTCCAATTTCTCTGTCTTTCTTGGAAGTATTGAGATCAATCTGTGAATTTGTTGTCTCATGCTTTTACTATGCGAAAGCTGTCAATTTTATAATAAAAACCGACCATATGGTAGCTGGCGAATTATGACTTGTTAAGTACTTTTCTTCTAGAGCCTTCATCTAAAAATCTTATTAGCATTTTGCATAATCTGCTTCATTGTTTGTGGGATTCCTACCATCCCTGATTTTCTTTTTTATCTATATGCTATTTCTGGAAGATGATTTTTTTCATGATCCCATAGTACCAGGAGTTCATGTCTGACTTCAATTGTTTTTATTCAATGTATACTTTCAGGAGCTCATACAGGTGTAAAGTCTTACTGCAAGAAGGACAGCTGTGCATGTTATTAAGACAAATATAGCCTCACTTGATTACACTGCAGGGGGTTGAAACTTGAGATACAGTTGATCTTCTGGTTAGAGTATGGGTTCAAGGTTTGCATCACATCAGCTGAGCAATGGCCTGTATGTTTCTGGTCGACCTGAGCAACCTAAGGAGAGGCCCCAACCATTTTGTTCCACTGTGATGCCATATACTGGGGTGACATCAAGAAATCTGGAGAGCTGAAAGAGATGTTTGATCTCCATGTTGAGAAGTCAAGAAAATCTGGTCCTCTAGAAATGCTCCTTCAAGAATACTTCATTTGGAGGTGCTGCTTCAACTCTGGACCTGTCTCAATGCTGGTGGTCGGTCCAACTACTCTTGGTTCCCTTTCATCTTCAGTTCCTGGTGCTGGCGGATCAAATGAGGGCAAATCAAACTCTGGACCACTCAATAAGCATGGAGAGCCAACAAAGAGGTCATCTGGTCCCCAGTCTGGAGGAGTGACCCCAATGGCACGCCAGAACTCCGCCCCCTTCCTCCTGTGCTTCCGACAACTGGGCTTATCACATCTGAATTTCCTCTCTTCCAGGGCCCATAACCGATCTGGTGCTCCAAGGGAAAGTATCTAGGCCACTTGATTCTGCTGCATCGATGTAAATGCGGGCTACTTCCTTTGCTCACAATCAAGCTGTTACTAATCTCAACACTGAAATATGGATTTACTCAATTCAGGAAGCTTTCGAAAACCAATACTCTGGGCGCTGATTCTGCTCTTGTGATGGGTTTCATATCAGGTGGCTTCATTCTGAGTGCTGTTCACAATGCAATTTTGCTGATAGTTGTTGTGGTGATATTGGTTTGTTGCTGCACTTCTTATCTGGAATGCTTGCTGGGGTAGAGGAGAGGATTGCAATTGGGTTTGTTAATTGCTATCTGATGCTGATCTCAAGAACTGCCAAAGATGGACAGTATGTAAAGGTTACAGGGTATGTATACAATGCCGTCAAAATTGTTTGATCTGATGCTTTGTTGTCCTTGAATCCAGTTCATGTGTGGTGTCTTTTTATTCATCGTTTATGTTAATTTTATTTCACTGTTAACAAATAACACTACCCTGAAATGTGATTATTAAAGTTTTCATTTTTCACTGACATGTAACACATTCTTCACCAGTCCTCTTAAAATCTTTGAATGTTGCTCCATGTCTGCCCTGATTACTCTTTGTTCTCTGCACTAGCACATAATTTAGCAATATTTCACCAGACTGTTCCATTTGATTTATTATTTCCAGGTCAAAATGAACATGGTATATGGAAAGCTTTAATAACCACAGTTCAACAGCATAATTCTTGCTAAGTTGGGAAAACATTCACCCATAAAAGATACCTCAAAGGCTCAAAGCATGCTTCATTTCCAAACAACACTATTTCTCCTATAATTTAGAATTGCATATGTGAGTGTTTGAATTCACAGGTTGTTACTTGTGGAAATTTCCCCTCGAGATCCTCGTTCCAAAGGGTCCCAAGATGCGTATACACTTCTACTAGCTTGTATGAGTACAGAGACTTTGGGATTTAAAGCTGCCAATACCACCGAGCATCGGCGTTTACACCTGGGGTTTCACAGCTCAATGGAGGTGAGTATTTTTCATGACATGGAATAGCGAATATCTACTATAATCTTTTCTGCAAACCCAAAACTGCAGTTGTTGACTTTTAGCAGACCTTGACCTCTGATGTTTCTCCTGCATCTATATGGCAGCGACATCTCAGTTGATTTCCTACATCTCAGATTTTCAGTCTGGGCTTCTGAGCATTGGTGAAAACAGGATATAGGTGCGCATGTGACCCCCATATGTTGATGAATCTGTTATAATTGACATCAATCCAGACAACAAGGATATGTCCCTGAATTTTTTGAGATGGCTAAGGGAAAGCAACCAAGCGATGATGGTCGGACAATGCGCCTAAAAAGAAGGGCCTCCTTTTCTCCCTGTTTAGTTTGCAGCTGGAATGCATGACATAAACTCTTTTCTTTTCTTCTGCCACAAAGATATAGGTACAAAATAATATCGGCTAATGGTTACATGCTACTTGATCTCTGCCTGTGGAATACATCAAGGAAGGTAGCACTGTGAGGTGTGATGGGGTTGTCCAAAGGAACGACAACGCGTTCTGATGATTGTTCCTCCATCAGAGGCCGCGCCTTTTCCGGTTGTCCAGTGGGCCAATGCGTTCTCCATCCAACACTTGACGAACTTGTTTTTAAGATGCGAAAATACTTCGAATATTGATATTTGTACCAGTTTAACTGGCGGTGGAAGGAAGTCGTTGCCAAAGAAATTGCCTGTTAAATATTTGAATTCTTCT